AGTACGAAAATCGACCTTTTGAGATAATGTCGACAAACCAAGATTGGATGATAATTCAAGAAAAGAGCTAGCTCATGTAGTCCAAGTAAGGATCTCAAGTAAGTCCATTTTCTAAAAAACTAAGGGTCCACCCTGTGATTTTCTCGCGATAGAAACTTTTTTAATCGAACATTTCTCGAAAACTTGGAGATCAGGATAAAAATTGAGAAAGTGATTTATAATCAACCCAATTACTATAATTCAATGAAATGACTTTAAAAAATTTTCATCAGTAACAACGCTATGTGGCCTCAAAGTTCGGGATTTACAAAATTGCCATTTTTCGATTTTTTTTAATTACATTCGAATAACCAATGTTTAAAGGGTTTAATATGTGTCAAACAAATCTGAATCTCTACTTACATGATTTTAGACTGAATTGATTGAAGAATAAATAAATTATTAAAAATAAAAGTCCCGACACATTGAGCCGGACAACCTAATATCTCAGGTTTAACACTATCAACGCAGTTTCAGTGATCAAAACGCCTTTTAGAGTTTCATATGATTTCTGAGAATCGTTAGTTCAGATAAATTTATTATCTTTTCTCAATATTTCTGATGTTAAGGTTCCAGTAACCCACTATACGTAAAGTATCGAGAGATTGACCCTTTTCAATAATTAAATAACCAATGTGTAGCTAGACCTTAGGATCATCATTTAACTAAAATTCACCAAAATTCTCTGGTTAGTTATTCAATTATTAAGCCTCAAAGTGGCTCTACTTTTGTTCCACCCTTTACATGAGCTTGACTTGCCAAATTTCCGAGAGCAAATGCGTAAAATGAGCCAGTATTAAATCACTCAATGATGAAAAGTACTCCAATGCTTCTGAATTTCATTGATTTTGATGCGGTATTTCGATAACGAACTGTTCAAAATTGAAGCTTCAATTGTCAACAATAACTAACACGATTCAACAATAAACCGAATCATGTCGAATCTCAATAAGTGAAACAGACTTTATTTTTGCATTCATTTATTTCTGAAATACACAGTTACATCATATTTGCAGATAAGTCAACGGATTGGTTACTCTTTTTGGTCGCTGAAGGCGCTCGAGATATGACCTGTCCTCTTCTTTTTCTGGATCTATATCCGTTCTATTATCCGTCCGTATATTAGATTTAATCCGTTCCAAGAAAATGTCTTTTGCATCCTGCAGACTATCTTTTAAAGACTTTTTTGCCTCATGTAACACATAAGAAATCTCTCCGTTGCCGGCTGCCATTACTATTGTTGAAAAGTACTCAAAGAGCGCACAAAGAAAAATTATTGATACGATAACGATTTTTCCCGAATTCATTGCACTTTTTAGACTCTTAAATTATTTAGAAAAAAACTTCGTAATTTTTCGTCTGCAACCATCATGAAAAGTTGATGGCTTTTATACCTTAAGAATATTTGATTAATTAGTCATTATTTTTTACAGTCTTTTTGTCTGAAACAATATTTGTACACCCCACTATGATTTTTTGTTTCGTAATTATTATACAGCCACGAAAAATGAGATGCGAAAATTTTTGAGAAAGTTGACGCATAAATTGATAACTTATCAACTTGATTTTGATAAAAATTAAAGATTAAAGGCTTGTTGTATTGATTCACCTTATTCAAGTGCATTCAAATCAATTGAAAATGTTTGGGGTGCATGTAAATACTGTAAATGATGGATTTCCGATTAAATACTGATACAAACTATCATCACTGATAAATAAAATATAATCTTTATATGCGCAATTGATACCAAAAGTATTCGCATCTCATTTTCCGTGGCTGTATTAGACAACAAAATAACAACATTTCAATCGGATGAGGGTGAGATGGTTAAATGTTCAACAGTTGCCTTTGATAATCAGTTGGTCAATTGATTTAAACCCAAACAGTTTCCTTCTAGATGCACTGCGCGTCATAAGTATAACAACACCAGATTTTTTTTGAATTTACTGATTTTCTGGCTAATAGAGTGAAGGGTAGAGTTACCCAAAACCAAATTAAATCATTTAATTATAATCACAAGGTTATTGATAAGAGTTGAAAGTTTTAAACTTTGATTATAATCCCTAAAGGATTGCACATAATTCACTTTTTGTTTCTCACCAATTTTGTAATCAAAAGACTAAGTCTTTTGTCTTTCTCTAAAATTCCTTTTTTTCTGTCTAATTTACTTTCTATTTATCTTTCTCAAATTGTCTTAGACGTTGATAAGATTTCCTTTTCCTTAAATTTGGATATTCTTCTGTTCCGTTTCAATTGGTATAAATACCTTTGAATTTTCATTAATTAATTATGTTCTATTTTCTAGTTTCCTGAACAAGTTACCCTAGAATTAGCTGCACATCTGTTTTGTATTAGGACAAAAGTATAACAACAGATTAAATTTAATTGATTTAGGGTCAAATCAGTCGACAAAATTCCATGAAAATTTGTTTTCTGGGTCATTTTTAGTTGCTCTTTCAACCAGTGTGAACCATTTTTGTATCAAACTCTTTTTTCATTTTCTATAAGTTAATTTTTAGTAATTGTTGATCATTACATAATGCCTCGAGGATCATCACTAAGCGATTATGAAAAGGGTCAAATTGATTCATTCAAGACCCAAGGATTATCTATCCGTCAAATTGCTGCTAAAATAACTCGTTCACCGAGAGTGGTTTTCAATTATTTGAATGCAGGTGAAAATTATAGTGCTTCCCCCCGCTCTGGACGACCTGCAAAATTTGATGATCGTGATAAACGAAGTGTTCTTAGACTGATGGATGAAGGTAACAAATCTTGCAAACAAGTCTTGGAAGAATCGAGTTTGCCTGTTTCTGTAAAAACAATTAATCGTGCAATCGAGGAGTCAGGATTCTACGAGTACGATTCAATGGATGTTAAGCCGAGATTAACTGATGAACATAAGGTGAAAAGATTGGAATTTGCGAGGAATCACATGACATGGCGTGATGAATGGATTTCGGTGATTTTTTCAGATAAAAAAAAGTTCAACCTGGATGGCCCTGATGGTTTGAAGTGCTACTGGCATAAAATGTCTGAGGATAAAAAAATTTTCTCAAAAAGGAATGGACTAAGTAGCTAAGTCGTTTATGAGATATACCAGAGTAAAGTTTTGTCGCTTTACTTATGAAACACCCTTTAGCATTTCGAAGGCAAAAGTTTTCCAATCGATTACAGGTTTCTTTCAGCAACGCGACGTAAGGACAATGCGAATGTAGCCATTAACACCAAACATTTTCTCTGAAAGAACGAATATCGACTCTTCTCACATTAAATGTTCAACGAAATAAAGATCAGAAGATAATTGAGGAAAATAACTTATATCTATTAGGTCATCCAAAACAAAATGATCGGCTTCGTAATATTTTGATTTTCTTTGTTTATGAGTCGATTTAAATGAAATTTCGTACACTAATTATGTGTATGTTCGCCATGGACAATCCATTGCTATCTCTTCCACGACTTTTAGACTAAATTCACGCGGTCACTCCCGTTAAGGTCATTTACCGCTCGATTCAAAATTGTCCTGAATTCAGATAAATAAATTATTACGGGATTTTCATCTTGCTCGCAAGATACCTTATGCTCCTAAGCTTCGACTGCACGAAAAATTTATTGACTAGGCTGGTTCTTTGTGCTCGAAGCTCGCGATCTCTGAGATTACACTCTTAGTCTTTTGAGCGATATTTTTTCCTTAATTTAGAGCGGAAGCCCAAAACTTCACGGTCGATTCAGAAGCGCTTCCGCTACCTAACAATTTAATAAACTGCAAGTGTACAAAACCAGCACTACATTGCGAAAATACAAAGAAAATCACGATTTCGACCATTTAGGGCTTCGAAATTCAATTTTTCATAATTTGTTCGAAGTCGATCGTGAATAGTCAGAATTTAATGACATGATTAGATAGAGTGAGAAATAAGCTTTAAATAAATGCATTATGCTAGTGCATACGCCAATTAGTTATTAAGTTACAGCGTCTCAAAGTCCGATCATTTTGTTTTGAATGACCTAATATTTCAATCTGAGAAAAGAAAATTGGAAATTACTTTTCGTCTTTACTCAATTTTCAGTGTCAATGGCAAAGGTTTTACTTTACATTATGCACCTTAGGTACAATTCAACAAAAGGCATGATTGGTGTTAAACCTGAAATACGTTTTAGGGCCGGTCCGGTAATCATTTTCAATCTCATTTAATGTCATTTAATTCAATATCTCATTAAAAAATTTTATCTTGAAAGGATATCATTGGTTTGATTGATGAAAAATGTTACCTTTGTCATGCTCATATAGTTTAAAGTGTCCGGTGAACATCTCTTTATAATTTTTAATTGAGATTGAAATGATTACCGGACCGGCCCTTACTATGAAGTAACAGATTTTGGCATTTGTTTACTTCGATGAGATTTAGTTCGAAACTAAATTCATAGTTTATGAGAATCGCAAATTATTTGTTGATTAAGGTCGGAATGTTGGTTAATTCAGTTATTTTCGAGAAGAACTTTTTTAAATTCGATTCTCGACATTTAATACCTGTCGCAT